ACTAAAGGCTCTGGAAATGGGAGCTGTAGAGATTCTAATAGTCTATGAAAATCTGGATATAATGAGATATGTTCTTCATTGCCAAGGCACAGAAGGTATGAGCATTAGAAGATGGGTTTGCTGCTGACCTGTGTATTTAGGAAGCCTGGGCTGGAGAACTGGGAAGGGTAGCAGATTTCCTGATGTGAATTGCTTGAGTCTACTTGTTTTGTAGCCTATCTAGTAGCCTCCAGCTAACTAATATGTAACAGAATAAAACTTAACCCTCTCCAACATACCCTTTGATATGTTTGAGTCCATTGTTACTGCTACTGTATCACTTCATTTTATCAAGGGTTTCCCTCATTTTCTTTGGTCTTTTACTGGACATAATATTTTCAGGCCATTGATCTTTCCTGATAAAACAGATGTACAATGAGCTAGATGTCTTTGGTGCTTTCTAATAATAGGAGCCATATATATGGTTGCTACTCACAGACCAAAACAAACCTACTGGTTAATATATGAAGACCATGTTAACACAGGTTGTTTTTTTTCCCACCCCCTAATACCACAGAGGAGAAAATTCTCTATCTAACTCCAGAACAAGAGAAGGATAAATCTCATTTCACAGATAAAGAGGTATGTGATTGTTTTCTTGGTTTAGTGATACTTGCAAGAATGCATAAATTTGTGTATTAGAGTTACGGCAGCATAGAATATCATCTGCTGTGGGAAACCAAACCTCTTACATGGTGGAGGGTAAGAGATAACGAGGGGCAAGTCAGCTCTTGATTATCCCGGTTCTGTTTGGATTATGTCACTGGAAACCAATATTCCCCGATAATGAAACTCTGTTTATGCATAAATACCACATTCTTGGTTTAACAGTCAGGAACACATATACCACCTTTACATGGAGAGGGGAGGGTTTTCTTTGATGCTCTTACTGTGCTGTTGAAAGTCCTTCCACTGAAACCACTTCTCCAGGGTTTGACTCAGTGCATCTCAGCACAGCTTAAAGGGTCTCTTTCCAAGTGCAGATCAGCTGAGTTAGAGTTTTGCTGTTAACACTCAGAAAAAGCCCACCTCATGGCCATTGCATCTATTCTGACTTCCGCTCCATCAGGCTAACCCATACAGGAGGAGATTGCCCATCTTTCTCCCGAGGAGCCAGTGAAGCGTAGACTTTGGGTTAACACAACTCTCCACAGACTACACCACCACAACTCCCTTTGCTCTTAACTGGGTTGCTCTAAAGAGCAGTCTGGCATCTCTTTTCTCTGCTGTCAAGTCAGTAGTAGGAAAGTTGGTAAGCTACAAATAGATGGACATTTTCATAACTGAGGCTAAAGCTTGAGGAAGGAGTATTTGTAGTAATCAAAACTACTATGCTGTTAGGACAGTGTCACTAAAAACCAGAATTCACTTAATATAAAAATTTTGTTTTACACATACAAACCATTTAGGAGAGAATGGTAGTTGGAGTGGGAGGTGTGGTCTAGAAGGAATTCCATGATTTATGTATCTCATGGCTCCCCTGTAGACAGGACAAGAACATGAGCTGATTGAGAGCATGCCCCTACTGGAATGGTTTGCTAATAACTACAAAAAATTTGGAGCTACTTTGGAAATTGTC